TCTTTCCTTCTCCTACATGGATGTGACTGCCTAACTGCTTGTCTCAGAGTTCTGTAGTACAGGGACATTAACATTACCATGAGAAGCCAACCCCTCCGTGCAAAAGCTAAGACAGTGAACTCAGGTACCCTCATCTCCCTACAAACTAAGGCTTGAATGAGCCACAGTTCCCACCCTTCTTTCACCCATCGGTGTGTGCCCCTATCCTGTTTGAGGTCTAGTAATTAACATACTATTGGACTGACTCCACATTATTAAAACTGTTTTTACTTAGCCCCCATCCTCAGAGCAGTGGAGTGTTAGAGCCAGAAGGGATTGTAGTAGAGGTTATCAGTGATCCCCAATAGATGAAAAAATTTGAGGCCCAAAAAACGAAATGACCTGTGTGAGGTTAAGGTCACCTTAGTCAACCAGGTCAACCAAGGAGCCTTTGGATGCTGCTTTGGACATCTTCAGCCCTGGAGTTCAGGGTCATATTACCAGTGTCTTCAGAGGGCCAGTTCTCTCCTGTCCTTAGACTTAGTGGCATATTGACTCTGTTTGCATTCCTCCACCTACCTCAGGATTTGGATTACTGTTGCATGCCCACTTTGGGACATACTGTTTATTCTGAGAAGAAATGCCCTGTCTGGGCAAAAGAGCCCCGGATTGGTTCTGACCCAAACCCAAGGGTTTAAGCGGAGCCAGAACATCCTAGGGAATGCTACCAGGTGAACAGTGACATTTTAGGAACTGTTGAGCTGTCTTTCCCTTTTGAATGTGCCCTCTCTGTGTATATCATTTCTGGATACTTCTTAGGAGCTACCTTGTTCTCAGGGTCCCCTACAGCATTAAAGGCCCTGAAGAGATGACCCTAGGCACTTATGTGGAAAATATCCCTGAGGTCCCCCTTATCAGGCTGTTGCAAAATTAAGTTCACTTGAGTAGTTTCTTTCCCCCTGGGAATCTGTTGAGAGCCTGCTTCTCATATAGGCAATAGGAAAGGGTTAACTGCCTCTCTCGGGTCCTGAGCCAAGGCTGTGCCCCACCAGTTCCCATAACCGGGTTTCCTGAAATGGAGCAGGTCCCAGGTGCCTCTCCACTAATCACATCCCTGGAAATGGGGCCAGGAAGCTCAGATTAGCTCATCCCTTCACCTTCTTGAGGCCTTCTCCACCTGGAGCACAGAATCTGGGGCAGCTTCATGACTCACCTCCCTCTGCTTCCCTATCAGGGGTCAGAAAGGGATATTCTCGCAGAAGAATATTAGATTATGGGGGGCACTAGAGGCTATAGTGGTGCTGACTTTTGTGCCAATTCTTGCACTACAGCAAAGGAAAGATTCTCCCCCCAAGACGATATCACTGTTTTATAACTGGAGTATTTCTTCTTCACCCCCATCCCTATGTTTTCTTCCTCTCCTTCTTAGAATGACTGACTATGATACTGGGTAGCTTCCTGTTTTTCCTGGCTGATGATCAGCCTTTGCACAGAATCTCTGATTTCTCATCTACAAGTAGCAGGTTCTGGGGCCAACCCAGGATAGCATTCCTTTCCTGTTAGTGTCTGGTTTCTCCTCTTTCTAGATAACCCATAAAATGTATATCACAAAGTGGTTCTGCTCTCAGTAATTGGCTTTTTACTTTCTCTCTAGGCAGAGCTGGCTTTGTCCTGCCAGCTGGTGTCCACCGGAAGGGAAGTATTCTTTGTAGCATAGAAGGCTCAGGAATGGAAACAGCAGTGTGATCTGGTCACATATGGCCAAGTAAACCAATTGATTCAAAGGCCAGATGATCAACTTTACTTGAAAGACAAGTAGGCTAACTGGGACAAAGAACCTTCTAGGTGCTCCGTTAAAGAGGACACTGGATCCACATGTTCAGTCTTGGTTCACTCGTTGTATGATTACAGTACGCTGCAGTATTTTTCCAAGAATGCTGGTGTACGAAGTCTTTAAAGCTAGTAATATGGAAACTTGGTTGAGCTTATCTTTCACTGGTCTCCAAAGTTGACTTGATTTTCGCACATTCTAGCTTTAAGGCCGCTTCTATCTTCTGTTTCCCCAACTTTCATTCTCACTAGCTGAGAAAAGGCTGTGGGATCAAAAGTCTAAAAGGGTCAGGATGTCTTCATTCTTCTCCCATTTTACTAGTCACTTTAGGTGTTATGTTCTAGTTTTCCACAATCTAAAATAGGAAAATTCTCCCGGGAATATGGTTAAAATAACATCTGTGAAACAATTGGAGAGTTTTAGAATCTTTAAATGAGAAGAAATCTTAGAATTCATTTAATCTCATACTTCCCAACCAGAGGAGCAATATTTTTTCCAATTCATTTCCTTTATCTCCACCCCTCCTCCTGAATAGCCTCTCTCTACCTCCTTCCTCAACCTATTCCTGGTAACCAAGGCAGAGAATTGATCTAGTTTGCATATTTTGTGTATTTAGGATTGGGAAATACCTCCCTGATTTCATGCAAGAGTCATTCCAACTGTCCTGACAAGTTGATACCTAGCTTTTACTTGAATTGTTGAATTTACTTGAATTGATGAATTTACTTGAATTGTTGGGAAAGATGCCACCTCAGAGGCAATCCATTCCAGTTTTGGACAGCAGTGGTTTGGTAGAGTTTTCCGTTATATTGAACTGAAATCTCCCCTGCTGTATCTTCCACCCATTGGTCCCAGCTCTGCCCTTTGAAACCACAGAGAATTCATCTAATCCTTTTATAAAGGGTAGAGGGGAATACCCAGAATTGTTATTGTTAACTTGTCACAGTGGTTCAGACGTAGCCTGAATGATTGTATTACAGATGTCCTTTGCTATGTTCCTAAAACGTGTAAACCCAGTTTTGTGTGAATCAAATCATTTTAAACATACTGGGAAACTGACTGTCTGAAAGGAACCCTGTTATCAGTT